TTTAATGTAAATAATAAAACAAGTCTTCTTCTACCAGAAACTAACCTTACAATTACTAAAACTGTATAATTTTCTGACGGACATTGTTCCAAAAAATGTTAATTTGGCAAAAACAAATAAAACAGCTTTTAAACTATTTGGCCGATCACTTTGAAATTTTGACCCTATTTTAAGCACTGCATGACACAGTATTCCATGAAATATAAATATTACAAGTTTATTTTCAAAAAAGTTATTAACATTTATATAAAACCGAAATTTTTGACTTATTTTGCAACTTGCTAAGTAACAAACAAGGATAAAAACATTTAGAAAACGCCATTTTGAATGTTTTTATATAACTTATTATCCTTTCCTCTCTTCTAAAATTTGTTTAAATTGCTTCACTTTTTCCTGATAAACGAAAAAAAGCAAAAATTTTTCGTTTTTTGACCTTAGTTTGTTAATAACTAATTAAGTCCAAAAAATCGACTGCAGGAAATATATAGGTTTTTGCTACAGAGGTCCATACTACTCAAAACAACTGTCATTTTTCTGGCCGGACGAGTGTCAAAAACAGTGTACTTTTTTTGCTTATTATCCTGGCCTACATATAACATATTGTCAATAATAAATATTCCAATCATTGTGTATTTACGATTATTAAGAAAAACTATGTTTACTATTACAATGGTGTACACGTTGTCAGAAATGACAGATATGCATTTAATTCTGGATAAGTTTAAGCAGGCTAAATCAGGGTTTTTCAATAATTATTGGTAACTTTGTAATTACAGGTACAGTTGCGGTCACGGAATAGTTTACAGGTTCACGTATCTAGGAGCCCATTTTTTAAATTTTTACTTCGTTTAAACGTACCTTTTACGTCAAAGTGACGTTGCCAGTGGTGTACTAGCTAGAATAGGTAGATTAAAATTAAAATATCAAAATATTTTACAAAATGAAAAATATAGAAAACAGTTTTTTGAATAAAATGGATTATGATCTTAATAACGAAAATAAAGAAGTCTTTTTTTTTAATATGCATTTTATTTTAAATCTATTTTATATTAAATAACGATAAACAATGATAAATAATAATTAATATTTGGTGGAAGCCCCATTGTTGTCAATACAATTTTGCAGTCTTCTGTTCATAGATAGCACCAATCCCCTCATGTTATAGTTAACAAGCTCTTCCATGCCTGCTCAATTGCTTCCCATAATTCAATTCTATTCCGTGGTCTAAGGTTTCTTTCATTTAGTTTCTTTGTTAACTCTGCCCACACATTTTCGACGGGGTTAAAGTCTGCACTACGGGAAGGCCACGGAAGAACATTAACATCAGTTTCTTCTAGCCATTCTCGAACAATTCTACTCGTATGCACCGGGCAATTGTCATGTTGGAAGATAAAGTCGTTGTTGGGGAATCTCTGGATCACCGATGGCAACATTGTGTGCTCAATAATATGTTTGTAATATAATCCTGTTAACTTCTCCTCTACATGATAGCAAACGCCCGGGCCTTCGGCACTTATCCATCCCCATACGTTGACAGAGAATCCTCCACTATTTCTTAAATGATGCGTATACTGTTCATCATACCTATGATTTCTCGGCCTATAAACTCTTATTCGACCATTATTATACGACTGAAATACTTTTTCATCGGAAAATACAACCCTAGACCAAAAATTCTCATCGCGGTTTATAAATTCATTACAAAATTCAACTCGTCTCCTCTTGTGATCCTCAGTCAAAAAAGGTTTCCGTGCAGCTACACAATTTAGCAGTTCACTTGCTTTAAGTCTTCGACGTGCAGTGCGAATACTGCCTGGAAACGCTGCCTCTTCTCTTGCCTTTTGAGCTGTGGCAAAAGGAGATTCTCTCAAACAATCTACTAACATCTCATCCTGTTGATCTGTGGAAATCTTCTGCCCTCCTGAACCGCCCAACCGTGCTATAGAGTGAAAATTATCCCATCTTTGTTTAATCTTCCATATGCACATATGACTCACGTTCAAATCAGCAGCAACTTGCCTTAGTGACCAACCTTCTTCGAGTTTGGCAATTGCTCTTGCTTTTTGCGCATAATTCAAATGTATTCTAACCATTTTGGAAGAGTTTAATATACTTTTATTTTATTGTTGAACACTCGCGAAAGCATTGACGTTTTGAAATTTTTTGACTTTGACATTTATCAAATCCGTACGACACTGCAATTTTACAGTATTACAATATAAAAAGTAAGGTGTAAACTATTCCGTGACCGCAACTGTACATGCCAATGGAATAGTGCAGCCCATAAGCAGAAATATATCCTAATTCGAAGACACAAGCCAGACAATTATTTATTTTTAATGATCGTCGTTTACGAGAGACAGGCACATTGCGACCGCAACTTGTTGATAATAATGGTCCACCAAAAGTAGATACAAAGAATGAAGAGAATTTAAAAGCAATTTTAAAAATCCCTGAAAGCAGTACAAGAGTAGTAGTGGCTCAATAAGATGTTTCTCACATGATGATTTTAAGAAGATTTAAGCAACAGCACTTTTATCCTTATCACTTAACATCCGTTCAAGAATTACTTATCAGGATTATTTTAAAATAATGGATTTTTGCGATTGGTTTTTAACGAAAAACACAAAAAATTTCAGTTAATCTTGCTTTGTTTACCGACAAAGCTACCTTTAACAGAAATGGCATTATAAACCATCATAACACGCACATCTGTAAAGATATCATAAAACTGTACATTCTAATTTTGAAAAATCATTCCCACTACATTTCGCGCTAGAAAGGAGAAACTGAAACAGTTAAAAAAACAGTTAATTGGACAATAATCAATATTTTTAAAAACAGTCGACAAAAATAAGGCTGCAACTGAAGCATCATACCGTGTGTCCCAGATAATTGCACAAAAAAAAGAAACATTATGAAGACGATACATGATAAAACAGGCGTTTTTAGAAGCTGCTGGTGTGTTATTTGCCAACTTTAAAAATAAAGACGAGATAGTTTCAACTATAAAATCTATGCAACTTTCTGATAATACAGTGATGAGATGTGTAAAAGTAATAAGCAATGATATTTTTTACACTTAAAAAGTGACTTAGATAACTGTGTTTATTTTTCACTTCAACTTGATGAATCAACAGATGTCGTTGACACTGCCCAGATGGCCGTGTTCGTCAAGATGGTTTTTAGTGATTTTACGATTAAAGAAGATCTTTTGAAGTTCATTCTACTGAAAGGCCACACTACTGGACAGGAGTTGTTTTGTCATTTAAAAAATATTATTTCTTCCGAGAAAATTCCAATATCGAAAATGGTAGGCTTGATAACCGATGGCGCTCCAGCTATGGTGGGTTGTGATAAGGTTTTGGTGGCGTTATGTCGTAAAGATGAAACTTTTCCGCAATTTCTCTGTTACCACTGCATTATCCATCAGCAAGATTAGAGCTCAAGCGTTACAAATAAGATTATTCAGAACCTTGGCCGATGAAGTTGACTGTCAATACGGGGACCTACTCCTTCACTATAAAGTCCGATGGTTAAGTAGAGGACGGGTGCTGAAACGTTTTAATGATGTCCTATCTGGCATAGTTCAATTTTTCAAACAACGCGATGAACCGACTCTGGAACTAGAAAATTCAATCTGACTTAGAAATTTTGGTTTTCTCGTGGACATTACAGAGAAATTAAACGAACTTAATTTGCAACTTTAGGGAATAGACAAAGAACTAGCGGAAATAATTTCTGATATAAAAGCATTTATCAAGAATCTGGAGTTTTAAGAACAAAACCTAATTCACAGCGATTCCAAGCATTTTCCTATTCTTTCAGAAAAAATATCTCAAAATCCGTTAGAACTCTATGACAACAAATATCATGTAGAAATAATTTCTACCCTGAAGAGTAACTTCAAAAATCGTTTTAAAGATTTCAATGAAATGGCTTTAGTAGCGCAGTTTGTTGTTTCACCCTTTATGGAAATTGATATCCAGCAGTTTGCAACTTGTGTTATGCAGAACTTTGGCGAAGACATCGCTGCAACAGAAATGGAAGTCATTGAGTTTCAAAATGATTTAGCCTTAAAATCGTTATTCTCAAGTACTGAATGTATCTGGCCTAATGTAAGTAAAAACAAATATTCAGTTCTATGCCGTGTTGCCTTGAAAGTGAAAGCATTATTCAGTTCAACCTATTTGTGTGAATCTCCTTTTTCCAATATGAAGTTTATTAAGAACAAATATCGCAATCGATAATTGTATTCGAATAGCTGCATCAAATTATACTGCAAACATTAAAAAAATTATCGATGAGTCTGAGTGTCAGCCTTCTCATTAAACGTGCTTTTTTATTTTTCAATGTTTATGATAGTGCGTTACTTTTTTGTTGTTATTATGAACTATTTTTAAATCATACGTGACATGCCGTTGTGGCTGGATAAAAGTTTGTGTTTATTTTTCAAATACCTTCGTTTGATAGGTAGGAATGTAGCTATGAACAAGTACGTACTAGTAATATTAGTAATTTTGTTATTAGTTTATTATTAGTACCTATGTATTATGTATTACCAGTTAAACAGTAAAATAAATACATATAATGATAGATTAACTGTGGATTATTTCATTTACGTTGCGTTACGTGGCTTTCGTGTGGGTAACTCGCTGTTTATTCCAAAATTAACAAAGTAGCTCAACACATTGAAGAAGTTGGCGACCACTGGTCTAAACCATAGAAAGTGCTCTCCTGAAAAATTGAGATTTGGTGAATTCGCCCTTTTTCCTTAGCTTCGACGAAATGTTACTTCATGTGATAACACATGGATATTAGAATGGTCATTGAATTGATATTTATTGAATAATCCAAATTTTTCCAACAGAGCATAACATTAATTACTAAATTTACAGTTCGAACTTGTAAATATAGTATAAAAAATCAATGCTCTATAGCTATATAAAATAAATTATAATGAACTTCTGGCAACTACATAAAAAAATCTTATGACTTACATTATTTCTATAGTAGAAGCTCCTGAGAGAACATAAATTTTTTGACTGGTTTCTTCCCAATCAGATTGAACGCTCTTTACTTCAAGTTTAACATAGTATTCTACACCTTGAACAACGTACTGAGCAGGTATCACTATAACTGGTTCTAAAAAAGTACATAAATGTATTATAGAATATTATTGGTATAGAAGAAAAAAAGTAAGTTAAAATATTACTGCATTGCTTTACGAGTCCTAACAACTATATGTTGAAACAAGCAGTTATTTTGCAAATCAAATATTAATTGATTGAAATTCTTTTACGTTAATTTTTTTAATTGTAAATATGAAATTAACAACATTTTTTATGATATATGGAATTATTTTTACTGTTTAGTTATGTAATTTTTGTTATTATTTAATTAGTTGGATGATAATAAAAACATGCTGACAACTAAATGTTGTAACAAGAGGATTTCAACATATTAAAATAAATATTAATAATTTGTAACGTCGCCCTTAGAATGAAAATAGCCTGAACTCTATTGGGGATTGTACAAACACGGCTCAGAAAAATGCTCTTATGTGGAGAAAAAAGCCTACAAACAAATTAATAATAATAATTCTGATCAAATTTTGGATGAGGAAGTAACGCAGACAGGAAACAATATTGGAGATGAAGACGGTGATGCTCTTGAAGATTTCGAAGATCATCTAGAATCAGAAGGCGACGAAGGAATGCCATCAAAGAGGCAAAAATTAATGCCCTAAAAAATATTATGATAAATAAATACATCATACATATATATATATATATATATATATATATATATATATATATATATATATATATATATATATATATATATATATATATATATATTGTAAGATTGCCCATGACCAAAATGTAATTAAACATTAATAAACCAGCTTTTTAATTGTAAAAAGAATTGTATAGCAGTCACATTTTTTTAATGATATTCCCTTTAAATCCTATCTTGAATATTTTTAACAGCTATTTTCGCATGTATTTTTGCAATTTTAACATGTTTTCTGAATTTATAGTTTATTTGTTTATTAATGTATCATAAAATTTTAAGCTACTTGACTAATTACAGTATTAATTATAAAAAATATCTCAAAATTGTACATAATGATGAAAAAAAAATTTTTCGATTTGAGTTTTTTTGTTTTTTGCGTTTTTTGAAAATATTCGCCAAAGTAACGTATATTTTTTTACACTATCGGAAACAAAAGATTTCAACAAATAAAAAGCCCACCGACTTAAAAAAAAAACTGATATTTTGACGCGTTAATTTTCGATTGAAAATTAGGGTGCTTTTTCGATATTAAATTAATATCAGGTAAAAAAATAAATTTTTTAATTCCAAAAAATTACAGTGTGTTTGATACATACAAAGGCAAGTATTGCCAAATTTTGTAAAAAAATTTTTTTTTAAAAATAAAAATAAAAAACCAAAATTTTAGTTTTTTGAATTTTTCACAAAAACTTTAAGGATATGTGAAAAAAGTGTAAATACAAAAGTTGTAGATATTTTTGTTACCTATAACTTTGCTATTTTATTTTTTCATAGCACTTGTAGTTTTGCCGAAAATTGCGATAAACCGATTTTTTCCCTCAAAAACTCACTCCCTCACACTTGCCGACCTCGGATGGAGTGAAATTTATTTTTTCTTCCATTTTTAGCATATTCTCTTTTTTTTTTAATAAGTTTCATTTTACTATTATTTTTTTTGTTTCAAAAATTATCGTCCCTGGTCTGTATACAATTTTTACATTTTGTCGCAAATAAAGTCTTTTTCTATAAGGGTGTTAAATAAATAAATGCTTAGCGATTTTTACCATTTTTTACAATTCTCTTTCACATCAACAAAATTTATCACTTCCATTGACAGATTGCTATAAAATTTTCATTATTAGTTGCTAATCTTTCAAAAATATAGCCTTTAATTTCGGTTTTGAGCTCTGGCAAAAAATGTGAGGCATTTAAAATATGCCTAAATAACGCTAAATTTAAACAGTCCCATACAGTCTTAGAAAACGTTTAAAACTTCTTACTTTTGATTACAAAAGTACGTTTTTCTAAACAACACAACTTCATCTACAAATTACACCTAATATCGTATACCTGAAAGCATTTCCAATATGTGCGATCGTTTGTGATTTGAATGTTTAAATTCAGCATTTTTTGAGCATATTTAAAATGCCTCACATCTGTTGCAAAAACTCGATACCGAAATTTAAGGCTATATATTTTACAGACAGGGCTCTAATAATAAAATTTCATAGTGGTCAGTCAATGGAAGTGATAAATTTTATTGATTTCATAAGAATCATAAATAATGGCAAAAATCGCTAAATGTTTACTTATTTAACACCTTTTTTAACGGTGTTTATTGTCTATATCCCGTCAGAAATCAGCAGCGGGACTCCGTGCCATATAGAATTCTATGGTAGAATTCTATTGTCGTTTTCTATCTACAACGGCGATAGTAACGTGTATTGGCACTCCGTGCGTATGTCGTTTCGCTTCGGCATTTTCCGATCTCTCTATTATTGAATGTAAAAACATTAACCTGTTGGTTTTACTCAAATATCGCATTTATTGTCTATTATCTTTGTTTGTAACACATTTTAGAGAAAGAAAGTACTATTTTTGGGGTTTTTAATTGTTTGGGTTGACTTTTTCGGTTTCGGTTTATTACGCGGTCATTTGCATGCTGCTGTTTGTTTTTGTTATTTAAAGTCATATTTAAAGAGCTTCGTCTTCGTTATATTTTTTGGATAAAAATGAGGGCCTGAATGGAACATTGGGAAATGTTGCTTTCATTTTGCGAAGAATATCCAAAATTAATAACAAATAAATTTAATGGAAGTGAGGGACGAGCTAAAGGAATAGCTGTGTGGCAAACTGTTACCACAAAATTAAACAGTTTAGGATATGGCGAAAAAATCATAGGGGGTGGAGATCCAAAGAATTTCAGCAGAGGAGGAATGGCTACTGAATTATTTGTGTGTACCATATTGGGTGCAATTTGATTATAAACATATTGTGCCATCTCCTTATTCAACCTAAATAGTTCTTTAAATCGAATATCTTCTATAGCGAAAAGATTGCTTTCATCTCGCATTTGGCGCCTTGTTAACGCTTCGATACGAATTTGCTCTAACCGCTCCTCATTTTTCCCTGCTTGTATGTTTATTATATTAATAAGTAACATGCCTACACTATTTCCACGATCTCAGCAAAATAAAATAAACTCTTACGTAAAAACCAAAAACAGTTAGAATGTACACATAACCTTAATCTCCAAAATAAAAATAAATAAATTTACTGTCAATTTGCTTTTGGAATATAATACGCTTGCGCTATATAGAATTCGATAGGTCTCTGGAGATAGAAACGAAACGACCAAAATAATAGCATTCATGCGACAATGCGGATGTACGGAGTGCCAACGTTGTAGAATCTTCTCTATATGTAGAATACTACATGGCACAGAGTCCCACTGCAGTACACATGCACTCCCACCACAAGTTCCTCTTCCGTCGATGCGCACTAGAGGAGATGAAAGGGTGACGACCGTATAAAAAAGCGTACGCCACAAGAGAAAAAGACGAGGAAACCACCCAGAGAAGTCCAGGATGCCGAGAGGAAAACAAATCAGAAGAAGATGGTGCAAAAGCGGAACATCAGGAAGAAAGAAGGCTGAAATTTTTTTAAGTTATGACATGTATATATTATTAGGGCAATAAATGTTTTTATTTTTATTTTTTTATTTTATAGAAAATTGAGTTTCGCTAGTGTCCTGATCTAATGGAATCTTCACCGAGCCTCTTGGTGTTGACTGGAAGCCAACCGTCACGAGTTTAATCACTATATTGATCTGATAACAACTCCTCTGACACTAGGGTATTTAGTGAAGATCAACCGCTTCTGCTAGAACGTTGATTGAGTGGCAGTTCCGTACTTTGAGAATTGATTGATCTAAAACCTATTTTTTCAGTTGTTAAGTGTTGATTAGTTACTTTCCGTACGTGGCCGAACCGAGTTTATATTGGTTCGTTTCATCTCTATTCCACTGACCCATCATTTCGTTCTCCGCTGCGTGTATATTAACATATCGTAGTTGTCGTTTTAATTTTATAACAATAATTGTATTTTATTTTTCGCATGTAATAAACAGTGGGTCGCCGAGCCGTGCTGCCAATGTAGGATTGGCGTTTGATTATTGTTATCTAGAATATAATTTTATTTTGTTATTTAATATTAATTTTTATTTTAATTAAACCTGAGCTTTACTGAGTTTGCTGTGTAAAAGAGGTATCCGTCACACTTTATAGAAACTGATTTTATTTGCGGCAATATAAAAAAATCATAAGAAAACTGCATTTTTCGTCTTTAAAATGCATTTTGATTTTTGTCTATAGAACAATCTGATTAAAAGATCAAATTTTTTACAGTAGATTTGACACAAGTTTTATTTAAATTTGATTTGGCGTACATACCTGATATTAAAAATCACTGGTCGCTTTAAGCATTGTTATGAAGGAACAATTTAAAAATTGTTAATAAAAATTATTGTTTAAAATTATTTGCTACATTTTGTATTTGAAACATTTTTTTCTTCGGCTTACAGATTCTTAATAAATCGATTTTTCCTAGGGTTGTTTTAGGGCCTTGGGGTAAAAGTAGTAAATTTTTGAACCTTTTTTTAAATTTTGAAACCTTTTTCTTTTTGAATCTATTTGTTATTATTATACAAACCTTCTTTGAGATTTTCTTTACAAAATTTTGACAGCGTCTCTTTATTTACTGTACAGCTCCATTTGTATTCAAGATTTCCAGTAGAATTAGCTGGAGATTCGGTATCTATGGAGTCACTTCCATCCAAAATGATGTCTTTATTTACTTCCCAAGTTACCTCTAATCCGCCCTTTATAATGGGGATGGGTATTTCTTTCTCGATTTCAAAGTTGCACTAGAATAAAATTAAATTGTGTTATAGTAAATACTAGAGCCACCGAAAAAATCCTAATTAAAGTAGTCTCTGGAATAAAAATACCGCAGATTGGAACTTTAGACACTGGCATAGACTGACATATAAATAAATAAATTTTATGTTTACAATTTTTAAATACCAATTTCCTTGCAAGGTATTTATACATCGGTATATTAACTTAAAGATGGAACCTATAAATAAATTATTCTTCTTCTTAGAGTGTTTGAAATCATAATGGCTATTTTTATTTTTGAACTTACTGCTCTAAACAAATAAATCGATGTGCATTGATACCAATCACGCAGATTTTTTAACCATAAGTTCTGCTTTCGGCCAACAGATCTTCTTCCTTGAATCTTTCCCTGTATTATATATTCCCTGAGTCTCAAAATTTCATATTTTGGTCCCTTTATTACGTGGCTTAGGTATTTCAGTTTTCTGGTTTGTATAGTGGTGAATAGTTCTATTCCTTTACCAACCTTCTCCAGTACTTCTTTATTTGTAATTCTATCAGTCCATTTTATTTTTAATACTTTGAAGTATAAATAGAGTTCGAAAGACTCAATTTTTTTTAAATTGCAATTTTTTAATATTCAAGTCTGAGCTCCATATAATAATATTGAAAATATATAACAGCGGTACGTGTTATGATCTCCAAATTTAGATTTTTGCACGTTAGGGGTGGCTTCACTCGTATAAATGATGATCTGGCGATCCCAATTCGCCTGTTTATTCCAGCAGTATGATCATTATTTTCATTGATCAAAGTTCGCAAGTACTGATATTTTCCTACTTGTTTTATCACGTTACCATTGATTGTCAATCATTAATCAGCCAATTGAATCCACTGCTGGACATAGGCCTCCCTCAGTTCTTTCCAGTGTTCTCTACACTTGGCCGCTTGTAGCCAGTTTCCCGTTACACGTTTTATATCATCAGTCCATCTAGTCGGTGGTCGTCCACGGCTTCTTTTATAGTTTCTGGGCCTCCATTCCATAATTCGTCTTGTTCGCCGTCCATCTTGTGTTGGCTAAGTGCCCTGCCCAGTTCCATTTAAGCGTCGTGGTTATTTTGATGACGTCTTGATCTTGATCATCTTTGCCTGATTTGTTGGTTTGTTATATGTTTTTATGTTATGTCTCGAAGGCTCACGTTCAGCATTGCACGTTCCATGGCTCGTTGTCTCGTTGTGTAACTCTGAGTTTATTCCCAGATTTTGACGTGAGTGTTAAAATCTCTGCTTCATAAGTTTGTACAGGCAAAACACATTGGTTATAAACCTTCCGCTTGAGACACATCGGAATTGAACTTTTTAGAATGTGGCTTAATTTATCAAATGCTGCCCATGTTAGGCCTATTCGCCTCTGTATTTTATGTGTTTGATTGTCTCTGTTTATTTTGATTTTGTGCCCCAGATATTTGTAAGTGTCTGTTTTTTGTATGGTATTATTGTCAATAGTTATATTTCACTCATCACGAGATTTTTTTTTGTGTGTGTTTTGGCTTGGACAATTGTCATTCAGCCAGTCTCAATCAAGATAAGTTTATTAATGTAATGTGTGTGTTCTCCATCTATATTGATGCCCATATCTTGTCATTGAGTGCTCTTAAATATTGACTCTAGAGCTGCCGTAAACAATTTTGGTGAAATATTGTCTCTTTGTCTAACTCCTCGCCCTAAGCTGAATTTTTCTGTGTCTTCGTGTAGTCATATACTTGATGTAGCGTTCTCGTAGATGTTCTTGATTAGTGTCGTGTACCTGTAATCTATTCGGATTTGATTTAGGGCTTCCAGTATTGTTTCAAACTCTACAGAATCAAAAGCCTTCTCGTAATCGACAAATGCAAGAACCAGTGGTATGTTGTACTCGATGCACTTTTCTATTAAGATCTTTATGGTATGCAAATGGTCATTTGTGCCATATCCTGACCTGAAGCCTGCCTATTCTTTGGGCTAATAGAAATCAAGTTTAGGTGTTAGCCTCTTTGTTAAGATTTTCATAAAGAGTTTGTACATATGCGTCAAGAGGCTGATGGGTCTATAATTTTCTAATTTAGTAATATCGCCTTTTTTGTGTAACAAGACTATGACTGCATTGTTCCAGTCTTTTGGAATCGTACCCTCATGTAAGCATTTATTAAACAGTTTGCTTACTGATTTTAATAAAATTTCTCCATCTGCTTTTATTGCCTCGATAACGAGTCCATCATCAGCATGCGATCGATGTTTCTTCATTTCCTTTAAAGCTGCTGTTACTTCTGACACAGTAATGGGTAAAAGTATTTTCGATCCCTGATTTATGAGAGTCTTTACTCGTATCATCATCTTTTGGTCTTTGACTGGTATAAAGGTCTTTATAAAATTCTCTGGTTATTTTCAGAATGTTTTGTTTATCTGTTGTTGCCTTTCCGTCTTTATCTCTCAGCTTGTATATTTCTTTTTTACTATGTGTGAGTGTTCAATCACAAATTAACCCCTTAATTTGTAATCTCACATTATTCTTAACTTCTTAATCTTTTATAGTTTCACCGTGTATAAGTTTGCATTATACATATTGCAAAACCATATCGTATGATAATTTAATAAATAGTTCATTTACCTACAACTAAATAAATTGCTGAATAACAATATTTTCTAATTAAACTTCCTAAGTGTCGCAATTAAGGCGTAGATTAAATTGTAGTATAAGCAAAAGTTAGGTGGTGTGATATGAACGAAGCAATGACCTAAGGTGCTTATGTATCTATTATGTGTGAGATTATAAATTGGGGATTTGAGTTCAAATGAACACAGTCAATATTGAGTAGTTACCGAAAGAACACCATATTGTGTAATTACGAGTTGCTGTCAATAAATAATCACCGTTACTCCACAACTTCAACATTTATTAACCCTACCAGCATCGATCGACGAGAAGCGGACAAAGGGCTATTACGAACCGAACCGAACTTCACTACTAAGTTCGATATATTTTTCCAGTGAGTTTTCTTTATCTTTAAACTTTTGTTTTCTTCTACTGTTTGAGTAATTACATTAGTATTATATCATCTTACATCTTTTCTAATTTCCGCTGAAATTCTTTTATTTAGTTTTTTATATTCTTTTTTGTTTCCCTTTTCATTCTCGCTTAGGTTTCGTCGTATTTCCATGAAAGCTTTTCTATTTTTGCTAATCTTTTCACTTTTGGTCTCATTTTTTCTTGCAACATTTGAGTTGTGCGTTTCTAACCGAGTCTGTTATTAATTTATTGTGATCGCCAATACTTGAGGTTTGGGATTATTACTCTGTAAAGTTTCGGCTATATTTTTTATGTATGCTTTTGGATGATTTGGTGAATTCCAAAATATGCGTTTGCAACTGTTTATCATCTTTGCTCTTTCTTTTTGTAAATTTATCGTTACTCGAGCTCTTACTGGTCTGTGGTCGCTTCCTACAGATAGTTTATTAAGTACAGTGGCATCTTGAATAATTTGCTTTTTGTCTGTTTTTTAGAGATTTTTTAGAGAAATTTTTCTAGAGATGGTCTTCATAGCAGAGGCTGACAATTTTATCAACAACAGATCAGTTAAAACTTACGAGTAGTTTTTTGTGAATAGGTGGCGCTGGGGTTTTAATTACGAAAATATAGACAGAATCAATGACGTATAATATATAGACTAACCAGTCCAGTATCCGTATTCTCGCTATATAATCGGGTGTCCGAAAGATCTCCACTCAAGACTGAAGGTATGTTTACCAACAGCGGCGTGCTCATTTATATTTTAATGACAATAATTATTTTTTAATTAAAATTAAATATGTATGATTTTTTTTTTGTTTCTAGCTATAAGAGAAAAAATTATTTTTATAAAATAGTATGGCATTTTAATAAAGTGGTAAATAAATAACTCTCAACAATTTAAAATAAAATTTGCTTGTCACATAAAATATGTAAACAGACAAAATGGAGAAAGAAAATGTTTTCAAACACAAAATCAACTTTGTGATGCTCGTAAGAAATCATAAACTTCGTGCATCTTCGTATCAAAACAATAAATAATAACAAAGATATTCATGTTGTGGACACTTTTTAAAGCGTTCACCACGTCTATATATTATACGTCATTGGACAGAATAAGCAAATTATAATATTCATATGTTTTGATTTGAAAAACATGTTAATCACGTCATATTTTGACAGCTGTCAATAAATAAACAAACACATTAAATAGGGTAATCTGAGACTAAAAAATTAAAAAAATCTGCTTAAGAACTTTTCGTAAAAGCTACCAAAGTACTACCAAATTAATAAGGATAATATTTTGTTACGCACCTTTTATTAAAACTTATATTGTTGCTATTTTAAAATGGCGCAACAAAATCACAAGAAGTCTAGGAGAGTTAATTTTGAACCTTCAAACAGTAAACACGTTATATTTTTATCCAGATAATCAAATAACCGTATTTGTATGTATCTGGCAAATACAAAAATTGTTGATTACTTCATGACAAACCACGGTCATATAAAAATTCAAAATGTAACTATACAGGCTAGAAGATTAATCACCCCTGCGGAACAGATTGTTCTTTCAAATATGTGTTTCAGCATACCGCATAGTTTCTTAATCAACTACCTACAAAATATCGGACTTAACATGATATCTCCAATTACATTTTTAAAAATCAGCGCTACATCACCTAAGTATAGTCATATTCGCAATTTCAGAAGACAGCTCTATGTAAGTCCTCATAGTATAGAACCTGATTCGTTTACTATAAACCATGACGAAAAAATATATCGAATCTTTCTGTCTCAAGATAGTATGGTAAGTTACAGCTGCAAAAAAAACCGGACATACTGTTCATCGCTGTAATGAAACCTCACAAGTTAATGTTGAAGAATGTTTTATTGAAATCAATAATGATAATTTATTCAAAACTGAACTTAGCAATGTCATTATTCCAACTCCAACTTAATCTTTTACAGATAAAACAGAATCAATCAAACAAAAATCCGATAAAACACCTAACCAAAAAACTATCACCAACAATATTGATATCACAATAGACACACTAGGTATAAATAGTAAGCCAAAACGGGACTTGCCTTTTTAAAGAAACTCGTCTGACCATTGCCCAGATATAATATGTATCCAAGAAACTAACCTTAGTCCAAACAAAAATTGCAACCCTAAGCAGTTCAATTGTTTTAGAAATGACAGAATAAGCAATTGTAATTATTATTCTGGTGGAGTTGCCACTTTGTTCAAAAATTTTTCTGTAGTAAGGCTATTTCCTGTAAACACCACACTTGAAACAGTAGTAATAAAACTTGTAGTAGCTTTAACTCTCTACATCTGTAATATTTATTTACCATCGAGTGCAGTATTTACTTTTGATGACATAGTCTCATCGAACAAATACCATCTCCCCGTAATATAGTCGGTGATTTTATTGGTCACAATACCATATGGGAGTCAGTACGTACAGATAGTAGAGGTAAATTACTGGAAAAATTAATGTCTGAGTTACAGCTCAACTTAGTTAATGATGGAACTCCTACACGTTTAAACATTCGGACGGGAGATTCATCTGCAATTGACTTAAGTTTTGGCGATCCAGTTTTGCTCCTCAGCTATTGTGGGAAGTCCTACCTTATACATATAGTAGCGACCATTATCCCATTATTATCCGAAATTTTACTAGACACAATCTACTCACTAGTTTTTACCCAAATGGAAAACTGAATCAGCAGACTGGACAGAAATTAAAGACTTCATCGATAAATCTATGGAAAACGTTATTGTAAAAAATAACATCATTAATACTCTAGAAGACTTCAATAATATCATTATACAAGTGCAAAGCAGCTTATAGGTAAAACAAAACCGCCAAAAAAATCAAACACCCGTACCATGGTTGAATCCTGACTGCAGTTAAGTGATTAGGGCAAGTAAAAAAGCTTTTAATAGATATAAAAAAAAATAAAAATCTAGAGAATAAGATTGCATATAAAAGACTTAAGTCTAAAACTCAACTATTAATTAAACAAGCAAAAAAATCCAGTTGGATGAAATATGTTTCTAATATTATAGCACACTTTCATATGAAATTAACAATAATCCTCTAAATCCTCTTCTAACGCTTCAATAATTGAATGATTCACTTAGAGATTTGAAGGTTATTAGTCCTGGACCATATGATATACCATCTATTTTTTTAAAACAACTTCCTAATACAGCCATAAAAGTTATGCTACATATATTTAATTTCATATGGCAGCAACACCAGTACCCACAATTTGGACTAAGGCTATTGTTCTCCCAGTTCTTAAACCTCAATGTCCCTGTCTGGACCCTGAATCTTACATACCCATAAGCTTGACGTGCTCCATCGGAAAATTACTAAAAAAAATTATCAATACTGGACACTTGAAAGTTCAAATCTACTAACGAACGAGCAAAATGGTTTTAGACAAAATCGATCAGGCATAGATAATAAACTAGATTTATAAAGCGATATCCAAGAAGCACTAGCGATGTGACAATACTGTATAGCATTATTTTTCGATATAAAGAAAACATTCAACACGTGCTGGAGATATAATATTTTAAAAAAGCTACACTCATGGAATATTCGGGGAAGCTCTCTTGAATGTATTAAAAACTTTTTACGACAAAGAGCATTTTAAGTCAGGGTTTAAAGTTCATATTCCGAAGAACATATTAAGAAAAACGGAACCCCTCAAGGTTCCATAATTAGCCAGACATTATTCCTAATCGCCATAAATGATATAATTAAAAATTTACAAAAACCTTTAAAAGCTCGTCTTTACGCAGGCGATTTGCTGGTTTATAACACGGGCAAAGATTTTTCACTTATGTCGAAATACTTACAAGATTTTCTAAAACAACTGGAAGAATGGTCCTGCGACAAGGGATTTAAATTTTCCTTATCTAAAACAGTGGGAATGGTATTCACTAATAAGATTTCAGTAAACCAATATTAAAGTTTTTTAATTCATAGCTTATGTTTAAAACAGACATAAAATTCATGGGAATGTGGTTGGACAAAAAACTATCCGGGAAAAAACACGTAGATCAACTTATCGCATCGTGCAATAAAAGATTAAATATATTAAGAACTTTATCTAATAGGGATTGGGGCACTGATTGCGATACACTAATTAGTCTATATAATGCATTAATTAGACCTAAAATAGATTTTGACTCCATTGCGTATATTTCTGCATCCGACACAACACTAAAACCATTAGATAGTATACATAATACCGCATTAAAAATTGCTCTGGGAGCATTTAATACAACAGCGGTAGAAAGTTTATATAGTAAAACTGAAGAACCATCTTTACTACACCATTGCATTTATTTAACATTCTATAGCATCCAAACGAAATATACCTTTTTTTGATAATTCATTCAATAACAAACATACACTTCAAAATAGATGTTATTTACACAAACCTTTCTATGAGAGAATTCGATTCTATCTAAGATATTTAAACCTAGATTTTCCAGATATATTTTAAATAAACTTGAACTATCCTCCACCTTGGTGTATCAATATTCCCGAAATAAATTGTAATCTTACTGTATTTAATAAGCATTCTACAAATCCTGCTGTTATTAAAAATAACCTCAATTCAAAAAACATTTTTTTTTAATGGCATTGACATTAGTCATTCAGCCAGTCAATTCAACAAACATGGAAAAAATTGCTGTAGGATTGTTACCTTATGGTGGATGCGGTAAACTTTTTCAATAAAAAAAAGGATAGGAATATATCTGCTGTGCAACAGCTTTCAAATGGGCTATTACTTAACATTACTTACTGATTTAAAATAATCTCACAAAATACAGTTTTATATACAATGGGGGATAAATAATATGGATAAAAGAAAATAAGAATATAAATAAAAATTTAACCAAATATCAAATTTATATACCAGTTTATCAAAAATTAAAATTTTTTTTTATCATTTTTACGATTTTATTTGCAGGAGTCGAATTATTACAAATTAAAATTTACTTACAGATGCTAACATTTCACCTTGTTGTTCGTCGTCCGCATAGTCCTCAACAATTAGTATTAGTAATTGGTATGGATTTGAAGTATGATCGAGTGAGTACGGCTCCAATATAAAGGTATCGTCATGAACATTTTCAAATAGAAGGTTTGTTTCATCTAAAATATTAAGAATAAATTTTATACACACATATGTTTTACCATATACTCTAGGAGACAGAGGGGATTGAATAAGGTATGTGCAGGTAATAACGTCAGCTTGGTAATATCGTCAATTCGTGATTTCTCAGAAAGTATATATATATATATATATATATATATATATATATATATATATATATATATATATATAGATGTATATATATATATATATATATATATATATATATATATATATATATATAGATGTATATATATATATATATATATATATATATATATATAGATATATATATATATATATACAGGGTGAGTCGTAACTATTTATTTGGACCAAAATATGGCTATTGGGCCAAATATGCCTAATAAAATGTTGCTGAGAAAAAAGATACACGGTGTTAAAGTGGAATTTAAAATTTTATTTTTGTCTATAACTTTCATGTAAACATTTATGTACAAAAATTTACAGCTGAGTACTATTGAATATCAGAAATTATAATTTAATTCATACTTTAATATATCTAATAGAGGGCGCCACATATGCTACATACGTGGCATACATTTCCACTTAACTTTTTTGTTCTTCAAGTTACCGGTATTTTTAATGAAAAATATTAAAGATACATTAGTTTAACAAAAAAAGGTATACTTGTTAATAACTTCAGAACTTAATAGTTTTCGAGATAATCGCATTTTACAAATCAGCTGCAAAATTCTGATTTAACGCAATTACTCCAGGCAATGAAATCAAAATAGATACAAACATCAATAATTTTGAATTTTGTTATAAAATACCTTTAATAAAGTCGATAGGTAACGAAATATTAAATAAAATAAATATATCAGCAGGATAATTAATAATAGGATTTGATAAAATAACAGAATAATTGGATTTTACATCAAACATTTTACGTTTTGTATTAAATTAAAGTCATAATCAAAACATTTTATTTACAAACCAAATTAAAAAATAGTTAAACTAAATAACGTTAAACTTTTTGTCAAAGTAAGTGTTCGATATGTCCACCATTTTCTTTAATTAATTTTTCAATACATTCCATAAAATATCGTCTCATATTAAATAGCATCATTGGTTCGAAAAAAACTGCTGCAGTATTTATTATAGTTGTTTTAAGTATTTTTATATATGTATATAGTAATAAGTAATTTTTTAAAATTTTTATTAATTGAATGATTAATATTATCTCACCACAAGAATATGACTACCACGAACAATCCAACATTCAGGAAAGTATATTTAAATACTGTCTCAGATATCTGTAAAATAGCATTCAAAATTCATATTTAAATTGCTTGTCATATAATTTGGAATCATTGATAATTATTTTTTTCGGATATGCGAATTACCTTGCAATTTGAATGTCAAGATTTATTTACTTTTTTTATAAAATGATTTTATTGATTTATTGGAAGAATTTTCATCAAACTTAAGGCGAAATATGTGGTTTCTACAAGATTTAAATACACATTATTTAAATCACAAGTGAGACAGTATTTAAATACACTTTCCTGAACGTTGGATTGTTCGTGGTAGTCATATTCTTGTGGTGAGATATTAATAATTATTTAATTCATGAAAATTTCAAAAATATACTTATTATTATACTTAAAACAACTATAATAAATACTGCAGCAGTTTTTTTAGAACCAATGATGCTATTTAATATAAGACGATATTTTATGGAATGTATTGACAAATGAATTAAAGAAAATGGTGGACATATCGAACACTTACTTTAACAAAAAGTTTAATGTTATTTAGTTTAACTATTTTTTAATTTGGTTTGTAAATAAAATGTTTTGATTATGGCTTTAATTTAATACAAAACGTAAAATGTTTGATGTAAAATCCAATTATTTTGTTATTTTATCAAATCCTATTATTAATTATCCTGCTGATATATTTATTTTATTTAATATTTCGTTAACTATTAACTTTATTTAAGGTATTTTATAACAAAATTCAGAAGTATTAATGTTTTTATCTATTTTTCTTTCATTGCCTGGAGTAATTGCGTTAAATCAGAATTCTGCAGTTGATTTGTAAAATGCGATTATCTCGCAAACTGTTTTGTTTTGAAGTTATTAACAAGTATACCTTTTTTTGTTAAAATACTGTATCTTTAATATTTTTTATCAAGAATACCGGTGGCTTGAAGAACAAAAAAGTTAAGTGTAAATGTATGCCACGTATGTGGTATATGTGGCGCCCTCTATTAGATATAACTTACGAAACTTATTTTTAACTTACGAAAAAACTCTTGTGCTTTAGTGGACCACCACTTAAAGACAGAACATAACTTTGACTTTAATAATGTAAAAATCTTGGAACAAATTGAAAATTACAAAAATCGACTTTTCCTTGAAATGGTACACATTAATAAAACTCCAGAATCTATCAATTATAAGACAGACACCAACCATTTAAGTAATATCTACTGTAATATACTAAACAATATATGATATGATAGATCTTAATATCAGTATCTAACAACATCAGACCAATAACTGACTACGTACCATCAATTACATTTTATAGATCAATTTACCATGTTCCTGATTCTTTCTCAATATTCTACTTTTGCACCTTATTATATGGATAATACTGTCACAATATTTAATTGTTTATTAAAACTTATTCTCTAAAAATTGTACAATGGGAATTCACTCTATAAAATATTGCGGTTACCATAACTGCCAAATAAATTAAAATCAAAAAAATGTCATTTATTTAAATTGGATATGTTATCAAAATTTAAATTTTTAATCTTAAGTTGTAAGTATTCAAATATTCATTTTGTTTACATATAATAATTATAATAAATTTACAGTTTTCTCCTGAAGTCACAAAATCGTGACGAAATATTGAGAAATAACAAATAGAGTTTTATTTCATACAGACCAATTGCTGAGACTACAAATAATATATATATATATATATATATATATATATATATATATATATATATATATATATATATATAATTATATATATTATATATATTTTATATATATATATATATATATATATATATATATATATATACATAGATAAAGATGTCTTTGTGTTTTATTATTTTTTAGTCTGTCACTCAAGATGTTGTGTTTGTGCTACGCTGTTTGAACGATTACATCTGTAAGTTCTTTTATGTTATGTTATTTTTTTATTCTATCAATAAATAATTTTTTAGTGCGCTCTTGAAAAAGCCATAAACCAAATGGCGAAATATTGAGTTTACGAGAAAAAAATCGTTTTATTTTCTGACCAAAAAGCCTGATAATATACATTTATTTTAATTATTTGATGGTCGATAACGAAAAACTAACTATATATATATTTATATATATATATATATATATATATATATATATATATATATATATATATATATATATATATATATATATATATATATATATATATATATATATATATATATATATATATATATATATATATATATATATATTACAGGATCCAACTTGTAAATATATTTTGGAGACGGCTATCGCCATATTCCCGTGCTCCTCCGCCAATCTTTCCGGTCCAAGGCATGCTCCTCCTCCAAATCTCTTTATTCCATCGCTCTTCTAATTCCTTCATTATATGACCGTCGAGGTCTACCTCTTTTTATTCTTCCAGGGGGCTGCCATCTGTAAAGTTTTGGGGCCAACGTTAGTCAGGCATTCTCAATAGGTGTCCAAACCATTTTAAACCTCTTCTTTCAATGGAATAAAAAAACCAATGGAATCCCTTTATGGAATTATTCATATGAAATGTTTCTTTCTCCAATTAAGACCCATATTAATGTTCGCTACATGTGTCAAAACAATATTATTATAAAAAAAGAATATTATTGACATTGTATAGTAAAATGGAAAGAGTATGAAAAAGTTTATACTGATGGATCTAAATCGGAACATGGAGTTGGCTGTGCAGTTTATTATCCTTCCAAAAATGTTAAGCTTATATACAAACTGTCAGATATGATGTCAATTTTGAGAACATGAAGGGGATAAATTTGTCATATTTACAGACTCTAAAAGTTCAGTAGAAAAACTTAATATTCTGTGTTTGAATCCTAATTTAAATTACACCCTTCTTGATATTTTGGAATTGTATCAAAATGTATCAAGTAAAAGAAAACAAATTTATATATCATAGATAAAAGCTCATTCAGTTATAGAAGAAAATGAAGAAGTGAACTCTTTAGCAAAAGATGGTGCTAAAAATGGAAGAATACTCAGATTAAAGATACCAGCATCTGATTTTATTCCAATTTTTCGAAAGGAACTTGAGGAAAACTGGCAGATAAAGTACAAATGTTAGACAATATTATTCAGACAATTATTCGGACAATAAGCGAATGCGCTGCAATCATGCACTATTTCCAATGTATAAAAATAAAATAGGTTTGTTGAATAATAATAAATGTACATGTGATAAAATTTCCGATTTAAAACATATGCTTTTAAAATGCCCGTTAAAAAAATAGAAATTGATAATTTTTATCAAAATTTATTATCTTATTCGCTCCGTGCGTGACTGATGCGACACCTACCGTCTTCATCTAACAATTTTGGAGTCCCAATTTTTAGGTCAAATATATGACATGTTTGACATTGTTAAATACATGCGAAATTGACAATTATTATTAAATTGGTTTTTTAACTATATTTTTTCAGTTTACGTACAAAATAAATGTAGTGTTAAAAACTTAGTTTCTGAAAATTCATCATAATATATCTTTTTAACTCCAAACGGAAACGAAAGCGAAAAATTTAGTACTGGCAAATCAAGTTTTTCACGCAAAAGAGCATATAATTAAAAACAATAATAGTAAAAGTTATGATATAAAAGCTGAAGTCATCTGCAGTTAGCTTAAAGCCTTATGAAATATCATTCAAGGTAAATTATTTAAATTGTACCTATTTCAAATGCATAAAAATGAAATTATGTGATATTTACTTTTTCATATTAATAGCACGAATTCATCTTTTTCTAAACTAGGCAACTAAGAAATGAAATTGAAGCACCTAAAGAATTTAAGGGTGATACTGAGCCTGACATTATACGAGAAGAAATTGAATATGCAATGAAACAAGCTAAAGGTGAAGATATCTAGGGCCTGATGAAGTTCCTATCGAATTAATTGAAATTGTGAATACTGAATCTATTGTTATTCTTTTGGATCTATTCAATACCATTATATAGAACAAGTATAATACCTAAAGAATGGTTCCAATCAACATTCATACTGCTTCCCAAAAAAGCCAATGTGAGGGAGTGCAATAAATATCGCACCATAGGCTTAATGAGTCATGTTTTGAAATTGTTTTTAAAAGTAATTTACAATAGAAATTGGATGAAGGCATTAGTAATACATAAATAGGATTTAGGAAAGGACTGGAAACACAAGATGCACTGTTTGCAGTAAGTGTTCTTTCGCAGAGATGCTTGGATATAAATCAGGAAGTATATGCCTGTTTCATTGATTTTGAGAAGGCATTTGACAGAGTGCAGCATAATCGGCTTAAAAAATTTTATTAAATAAAAACATAGACATTACAATCATATGTAACCTCTATTGAAACCAAACAGCAAAAGTTAAAGTTGAAAATGAACTGACCGAGGATATCCAGATTCGTCTGGGGTCCGCCAAGGGTGTATTTTATTACCTTTGTTATTCAGTTTATATAGTGAAGCCATCTCAGAATTAGCGATTGCCGAGGCCAGTGAGGCCCTTAAAATAAATGTTGAGCTACTTAATAACATAAGATATTCTGACGACACCGTCCTTCTGGCAGAAACACTAGAAGAACTGCGACACCTTGCTGAATAACTGAATATATATTGCAACGATTATGAACTAAAAATAAATTTAAAGAAAATCAAGTGCATGATTCATTGGAGCACAAAACATAAAAGTTAAGCTAGTACTAGATAATACAGAAATTGAACAAATATCTTCGTACAAATACCTTGGAGCATGAATCACAGAAGATACTGATCAGACAAGTCACGGTCGCAATTGCACGGTCAACTTTTCATAGAATGAGAAAACTGTTTTGTAATCGCGATATCAATTTGGAATCTTTACCCTTTTGTATGGGGTTAAAGCTTGAACACTTAAAAATCCAACATTAAAAACCTAGAAGCATTCGAAATGTAGTGTTACCGACGTATTTTGAAAATATCATGGATGGATCGCAAAACAAAAGTTCTTGAACAAATAGGAAAACAATGCGAAGTTTTAAATTCCATAAATATCAGGAAATTGGAATACTTGGGTTACTTCATGAGAGTTAAAAAACACGAACTACTAAGGAATATAATGTAGGGTAAAATCAAAGGCAGAAGAAGCGTAGGAAGACGTAAAATCTCGTGGCTGCGCAATCTCCGTGAATGGTTTGGATGCAGTTCAATTGAACTATTCAGGCGCGTAACCAACAAAATTATAATAGCCAAAATGATTTCCATTCTTCGATAGGAACGGAACTTGAAGAAGAAGAATGTATTGTTGAGCAATCATCGTTCGGTGGTCATCGTTAAGGTTGTTTTTGTGAAAAATGACCACAAGTTATTTAGGTGAATTACTTACTAGAGCTTAAACTACAAATTGCATTAATAATATTCATAACGACTGAGGTAAATGTGATAAGGAAAATAAAAATACTTACTTGAAAATTTTAAGCTCCAATGAAATATAGAGTTTTCAACTTTGCATTGTTTTCCAATAGTATACTTCACTTTGATTATATTTCGTCGATGTCGGGATAACATAATATAATTATCTTCTGTATCGGGGCTAAAACATTTTTAAGTCAAACAAATTAAAATATCTAGAAATTAAAAAAATATCAATAATAATGACAATAACAATAATAATCAAAAACGTAAGTCTAAACTAATATACCTTGCCAGAAAAAAAATAACTCAAAAGTTATATAAGATATATTTTTTGACTACGCTGTTTAGCAAGTGTATCCACGTGTATGTAAAATTAGAAGTAAAATATTGAAAATAGAGGTAATTTTTATTTCAATGAAACAAAATATTTATTAAGTTAGTCACAAAAGAACATAACAAAGATAACTTAATATTGTATGTGAGAAAACATGTTATGAATAAGAGTCATTATGCAATGAAAATAGAAGTAAGTTAATAAAAAAAATCAAAATTTATACTGATTATTTTGCTCCTCTGCGTTTTATTACACTTTCCATGCATTCTCTTAAAGACCCTAGTAATTTTCTGGGCGATTGCTAAGGAATCGGTCCCCTTTTTTAATCTAACATAGTTTTTAGCTCCGTCACTGTCGCTGGTGCTGGATTACTGACCCGAACCTTGCGCTTGAGCTTATTCTATTGGTTCGATGGGTTTCATATCCGGACTCAATGGAGGCCAGTCCAGTTGGTACATTTGTGTTTGCCAGGTTATCTTTCGTAATCCGAAAGATATCCGTAATGTAACGATCCGCTCTCAAAACCCACTCCGCTACCAACACCGGACTCAAACACGAGCTCTGTTTTGTAAAGATATACTTTTGACACACAATGCACCGAATCCATTCTTCGTTTTTGGACTTCGAAAATGGAGCTAAACATACCAGACACGTCGATTCCTCATCCTCTTCCGAGCTTTCAGAATCTGATTTTTTGAAGGTGTTTTTGGTAATGACGGTCCGTTCCTTACATTTTTTAACAGTAATTTTTACCTTGTTTCTTGATTCACCTGATATGTTTCTTTTAGTTGGCCCCACATTTTTTTTCTTTGTCTTGGCTTTTCTTCCTCCTCCAAAGCTGATTTATTGGGAGTATCAGTCAAAACAGCGGAAGTTCTTTTCTTCCGACCCCCTTTGGATTTCCTTGGCATTGCTTTTGGATAAGGCTTCAACTCCTGGGGCGTTATATAAGTAGGTGAATCGACAGGTTCATTTATCGCCAAGTTAAAATCTGTGCTTGTAGAAGGTTGCTGTTGGGAAGGAGTTCTATGTGTTTCGGTGTTAATAGGTGCCGGATTTATGACTACTGTTGCGTTTATATTTTCTGTTATTGGCCTATTTGTTACCTCTGCAGGCAAGAATTCATCATCTTGAAAAATTTCTCTGTTGTATGGCCAAATTCCTGTCACACTAAATCCTTTTTGTATATTGAGAGGTGTAAAAGCAAGAGGAAATGAATCTTTAAGAACGATAGGTATATCGTAAATGTTCATTACTTTACCGGGATTAGATCTTAACCATGCATCTGCAGCACTATTAAAATATCTTTTAAGTGGGCCAAATACCGTCCTATCAAGCGGCTGCAACTTGTGTGATGTATGTGGCGGGAAACTTAAAAGAACCACTCCATTTTCTTTGCAAAAATTCAACACCGGAATAAACAAATGAGACTCGTGATTATATAATACCATCAAAACGGGTTTCTCTTTGCTACATCGTACAAACTGGACAAAATGTTTCATAAACAACAAAAAGTTATCACATGTCATCCATCCAGAGGAATGAGATGCACCTACACAACCAGGAGGTCCATTGTCTACCATAACATCTTTGAATTTCTTTCTCGGAAATATTAAAAATGGAGGTACAAAATTTCCAGTTGCATTGACAGCTAATGCCAAGGTAACAAGTTGACCTCTTTCTCCATGACCAACCAACCGGTCTGACCAACCAAAACAATTTCATGATAGAAAAATTTAATAAAACCTAATCTGTGTTTCTAACATGCTTTGCGAAAATAAATGTAGGTAGGTATGCTATTCATTACAAACAAATTACTATCTACAAAATATGTCTGATCATAATATTGGATTTTTAGTGAAATCATAAATTATGGTAACCATATTGTAACCATTGTAGGTATTTCGATATATTCTTACATTAACGTGTTCGGGGCAAGTTGTTACAGTAACAACCTGGCCCCAGATTATTGTAAAAACTGGCCCCACGTGTACGAAATGAGGTTAAGTCAACGTTTTTTGGTAAATATTGAGAATCAATTACTAACAATAGCATGCCAATAACGAGAAATATATACGCTTCAAAACTATATAATACTCATATTTATACTACTTACCAATTTCTCACAAATAAAAACAAAAGCCACTTGACAACGGTACAGTTTTAGACCCGAAACCACATTCTAAGCAATAACACGATGATGGATGTCTGACTTGAGTATTAATATCCGTTCACAGATGACGGATCGGTTGACCCAACTTTCCATAAAATATCGGCAACTCATGATACTTGCTGCGTTTTAAAATAATTGTGTAACAACTTGCCCGTGTAACAACTTGCCCCCCTTTCCCCTACTAAATATAGCTAAACTGCAGCAATTGGGATACTCATAAGTCCTGACCAGAGACTTATAAAAGACTTAAATTAACCCATTCACTGCCATGTTCCAAATCTGGTACTATTGTTAATTTCGCTGATGGTTACAAGATGTCTATTGGTCTTAAATCTGATAAATTATTTGTGTTAGGTAGTGTCTAAACAACACGTGCATACTGAATTTACCCACTTGTTTTGTATAAGTGACTCAAGTTTGGAAGACAACAAATACTAAATATAGCTAAACTGCAGCAATTGGGATACCCATAAGTCTTAACCTGAGACTTATAAAAGACTTAAATTAACCCATTCACTGCCATGTTCCAAATCTGGTACAATTTTTAATTTCGCTGATGGTTGCAAGATGTCACTATTGGTCTTAAATCTGATAAATTATTTGTGTTCGGTAGTGTCAAAACAACACGTGCATACTGAATTTACCCACTGGTTTTGTATAAGTGACTCTTGTTGTGTTATTCATATCAAAATTTCAACAACTTAAACAACTTTCTGTTGTTTAGTTTTTTATATAAAACTAATTTTATTTGGTGAGTTAACAAAAATTTTTTATTTCTAGTTCAACTTTGTAAGACATTTTGTATTTTTTAGAAGCTCTTGATAAAAATTGTAATCACAATTGAAAGCTCGAGTAAAAAATAGTCAACAAATAGCCCCTTTTATTGACTCCAACCCATCAAAAACAGTGTTATATTTTTTCCAAACGAGTCACAAGTACTTCTTTTTTCTTACTCTTATATATATATATATATATATATATATATATATATATATATATATATATATATATATATATATATATATATATATATATATTTATACGTATATATATATGTAGGATTTCATTCGTCATCAAATAAAAAATTAGTTCGGCATCTCATCTCTAAACGACGTACGACGTTCATATTTTTGCTATTAAGCCGCGGTCATATTTTAAGTTATAGTTACATTAGTTAGTTGTATATTTATTCCTGTAATTTACGAGTTCAATAATAAAGTGTTTGTTCTAATTTCGAATCGACCTGTGACCATTTAATTAAACCCTAGACAACCAGATAAACCCTACATATATAATATATAATTATTATTATCACAAACCTAAATAACTTTACAACAAACAGTCTTTGTCCGTACCTATATTTCCATTAAGAGTGAATCATTGTAGTTGTAGTTAAACAAATGGATCGGTAATAAACATCTAAGGGAGACAGATATTATAATTAGCTAGAGCCTATTATTATATAATATACGATATTATCTAAAAAATTGTAATAAATAATGACATACCAATCTATGAACTCCAACTTGCTGCCACATTTACTATCCTTCTTTCTAAATCTTGATTCTAAAATAAAATATTGATGAAAGGTATACTGAAAATAGAGCTTTCGTAGTTGCTTACTGCATTCAAATCCTGAGAGTAATAATAAAATGAATGAAATCCAAAAACTTAAAATTGAAATTCGTTTCATTGTCAGCAAATGTAATGACATAAGCGAATATGTCAGAAAGTTAATGGCGTCTTTCAATATAATTACGAAACAATACTTTAAACTAATGTAATGATAAGATTTTTTTAAAACAAGTTACCGGGTTACACAAAGACTCTTTAAAATATTTGTCAAATATTTGTGTTTTTTTTATGATCTATGAAAAGGTCGTTTGGTTATACTTTGGTTTTTTCAACAAATGTCCATAAAAATTTTAAATTTAACAAAACTACCGTGCACATTTAGTACGAGGAGGACCTGCAAAACCTATTGATGGCATGATATTCCAGTAAAGATAGTAAATATGAACGACAGATAAGTATTGAGTAAAGGACTATCAAGTCTAAAATAGAAAAACTATGGATCTATGCAGAGGTATTTTCAAGCAGCAAGTCCTTATCTCTTGCATTACTGCTCCTCCATAGATCGATTAGACATCAGTGGATTCTAGTCTAAATAGCAGATTTATTTAGAGTTTTAAACTACTACATTAGCCTTTTTATTTTTCTGTCCCGAACCAGGGATCTATCCAACGCCACTAAACTATTCGACACTAAAGCAAATACGAGTCAAACTTCTAGATTGCTTGGTCATCTGACTGATAAATGTACAAATAAATGTGTATAAAAGAAAAGTCAGATTATAGAAACAGTCTAATCTAACTATCTTTAACGAAATCGTATTGATTACCACACGGATTAAAGGTGGAGATTGGCAGATAAGTAGATAATATGCCAAAGGATAAAATAGTTGAAAACGTAATGTCGTAATATCCATTCCTAATTCTCACTAAACCTAAGAAAATTGGTAAAAGCAAAAGCAAAAACTAAAATGTGGTCATACATGTGCATATTGGCATATAGTATTACTTAAACTTACCCCGATCGCAATATTTCTCAACAGAAGATAGCTATAGTCAAGGTAGAAGTTATATAACTACACCTTCCTTGAAATTTTGATATGAATAACACAACAAGAGTCACTTATACAAAACCAGTGAGTAAATTCAGTATGCACGTGTTGTTTTGACACTACCGAACACAAATAATTTATCAGATTTAAGACCAATAGTGACATCTTGCAACCATCAGCGAAATTAAAAATTGTACCAGATTTGGAACATGGCAGTGAATGGGTTAATTTAAGTCTTTTATAAGTCTCAGGTTAAGACTTATGGGTATCCCAATTGCTGCAGTTTAGCTATATTTAGTATTTGTTGTCTTCCAAACTTGAGTCACTTATACAAAACAAGTGGGTAAATTCAGTATGCACGTGTTGTTTAGACACTACCTAACACAAATAATTTATCAGATTTAAGACCAATAGACATCTTGTAACCATCAGCGAAATTAACAATAGTACCAGATTTGGAACATGGCAGTGAATGGGTTAATTTAAGTCTTTTATAAGTCTCTGGTCAGGACTTATGAGTATCCCAATTGCTGCAGTTTAGCTATATTTAGTAGGGAAAGGGGGGCAAGTTGTTACACGGGCAAGTTGTTACACAATTATTTTAAAACGCAGCAAGTATCATGAGTTGCCGATATTTTATGGAAAGTTGGGTCAACCGATCCGTCATCTGTGAACGGATATTAATACTCAAGTCAGACATCCATCATCGTGTTATTGCTTAGAATGTGGTTTCGGGTCTAAAACTGTACCGTTGTCAAGTGGCTTTTGTTTTTATTTGTGAGAAATTGGTAAGTAGTATAAATATGAGTATTATATAGTTTTGAAGCGTATATATTTCTCGTTATTGGCATGCTATTGTTAGTAATTGATTCTCAATATTTACCAAAAAACGTTGACTTAACCTCATTTCGTACACGTGGGGCCAGTTTTTACAATAATCTGGGGCCAGGTTGTTACTGTAACAACTTGCCCCGAACACGTTAATGTAAGAATATATCGAAATATCTACAATGGTTACAATATGGTTACCATAATTTATGATTTCACTAAAAATCCAATATTATGATCAGACATATTTTGTAGATAGTAATTTGTTTGTAATGAATAGCATACCTACCTACATTTATTTTCGCAAAGCATGTTAGAAACACAGATTAGGTTTTATTAAATTTTTCTATTATGAAATTGTTTTGGTTGGTCAGACCGGTTGGTTGGTCATGGAGAAAGAGGTCAACTTGTTACCTTGGCATTAGCTGTCAATGCAACTGGAAATTTTGTACCTCCATTTTTAATATTTCCGAGAAAGAAATTCAAAGATGTTATGGTAGACAATGGACCTCCTGGTTGTGTAGGTGCATCTCATTCCTCTGGATGGATGACATGTGATAACTTTTTGTTGTTTATGAAACATTTTGTCCAGTTTGTACGATGTAGCAAAGAGAAACCCGTTTTGATGGTATTATATAATCACGAGTCTCATTTGTTTATTCCGGTGTTGAATTTTTGCAAAGAAAATGGAGTGGTTCTTTTAAGTTTCCCGCCACATACATCACACAAGTTGCAGCCGCTTGATAGGACGGTATTTGGCCCACTTAAAAGATATTTTAATAGTGCTGCAGATGCATGGTTAAGATCTAATCCCGGTAAAGTAATGAACATTTACGATATACCTATCGTTCTTAAAGATTCATTTCCTCTTGCTTTTACACCTCTCAATATACAAAAAGGATTTAGTGTGACAGGAATTTGGCCATACAACAGAGAAATTTTTCAAGATGATGAATTCTTGCCTGCAGAGGTAACAAATAGGCCAATAACAGAAAATATAAACGCAACAGTAGTCATAGATCCGGCACCTATTGGCACCGAAACACATAGAACTCCTTCCCAACAGCAACCTTCTACAAGCACAGATTTTAACTTGGCGATAAATGAACCTGTCGATTCACCTACTTAAATAACGCCCCAGGAGTTGAAGCCTTATCCAAAAGCAATGCCAAGGAAATCCAAAGGGGGTCGGAAGAAAAGAACTTCCGCTGTTTTGACTGATACTCCCAATAAATCAGCTTTGGAGGAGGAAGAAAAGCCAAGACAAAGAAAAAAAATGTGGGGCCAACTAAAAGAAACATATCAGGTGAATCAAGAAACAAGGTAAAAACTACTGTTAAAAAATGTAAGGAACGGACCATCATTACCAAAAACACCTTCAAAAAATCAGATTCTGAAAGCTCGGAAGAGGATGAGGAATCGACGTGTCTGGTATGTTTAGCTCCATTTTCGAAGTCCAAAAACGAAGAATGGATTCGGTGCATTGTGTGTCAAAAGTGGGCACATATTGCTTGTGGAAAAGACGATGATTTTTATATTTGTATTCACTGCTCGTCCGATAGTGACTAGTTTAACATTCTTGTAAACAGGTTTGTTCAGATTTTCATTTTGTATTTTATTTCATTTTGTGTTATGTTTATAATATTTTTTGTAGCTAAGCAAGGGTTCTTTCTGTGACCACTAAATAATGTTGTGGGAAGTTTTTAGAATTTTTTTTTCTATTGTAACATCTTACCCCATGGACTGTAACAATTTGCCTCATAGTGGGGTATGTTGTAACAATTTACAAGTTGAGTTAAATTGATAATAACAAAATGTTAAATATGATTTTTTAAATAAATTAAAATTAACATTATTTGTGTAAATGTGTTAACTACCTTAATCCGATTTTAGTTTTCATATAAAAGATCTACTATTGCCCAAATAAATAATAGAATCAATTATGTAACAACTTGCCCCCCTCTCCCCTATTTGTTGTTCCAATGTTCCAGCATTTGTTATCCAATTATAATGTTTTTTTTATTTATCTTTTATTTATTTATCTGTTATTTCTTAATCCGTTACATCCTTACCCACTTCCCCATGACGATTTCGAATTGAGCAACGTGGTCTACGTACAGCTTTTGTGAACAAACAGCTTATACCATCTACTCTTTTTAGCATTTTGTTACAAAGGTAATTTTATTGGGCTACGCAGTCCAATTTTCCAAGATATTAACACATTGATATTTCTAATTGATTTAGTTACCTTCTTCTTAAGGTGCCTTCTCCATTACTAAAGGTTTGCTATAACTACAGCAAATTGCTCTCTATCTTAAGCTGTTCTTAGTATCGAATGTGTGTCCATGCCTGTCCAGTCTCTTACATTCTTCAACCAGGAGCATTTTCTTTTTCCTGGACCTCTTCTTCCTTCCACTTTCCCTTCCATTATAAGACGTAGTAAGTTGTATTAATCCCCTCTGTAAATATGTCCTAGATAACTCGTTTTTATTTTTTTTACAATATTTAGGAGTTTTCTCTCAGTACCCATTCTTCTTAGAACCTCGTTGTTGGTCACATGCTCTATCTAAGAGATCTTCAGCATTTTTCGAAAAACCCCCATCTTAAAGGCTTCTATACGCCTCATACTTGAAATTCCGAGAGTCCATGTTTTCACTTCGCATAGAAATATGAAATAAATAAACGTTTTTACAAATTGGTATCGGATATCCAACGATAACGTAGAATTTATTATGAATTTTTTCATTCGTTGAAATGTGAACCTAGCATATTCTATACGAGCACGTATTTTGACCTCGTGGTCAATATCGTTTGTTATCCAGCAACCAAGATACTGAAATCTTTGTACTGGTTCTATATGCTTGCTATAGATACGAATATTAATGTCGACATTTGGTGCACGTGTAATAACCATTAATTTTGTTTTATTTGTGTTTATATTTAGTCCCAAGCTATTTCCCTGGATATGACATTCAAAAGTCGTTGTAAACCCTTAGCACTGTCCGCAATAATGACGGTGTCGTCTGCGTATCTTAAGTTATTTACGTATTCTCCGTTGATTTTTATTGCTTCTTCAATATTTTCGAGGGCATTTTGAAAGATCCTTTCGGAATATCTATTTCGGACGAACTCCTCTTTTTATTTTAAATTCTTCTGTCAGACGATTGCCTATTTTGATCGACGTCATTTGATCCCAATATAATTATTTAATATGTGTTATGGTCTATACCATTTTGTGTTAGAGTTTCTATGAGTTCTGTGTGTTTT